CCCCAAAACCCCAAAACCCCAAAACCCCTTTTGATATATAAACTATTAGAAAAGTTAAATTAAATGGAAAGGTATAGCTACGATGATTATGTATAGAGAGGATTTAAGCAATTCTGAGCGTAAGACTTCTACTGTAGTTCCCCTGAGTGAGTTTTCACCGATCAAGATTTCTTCCCTAAGTATGATAAGGAAGGAAAACACTTGCTATGAATCAAACTTTAAGAGGAGTCAATTGTCCAAAGATAATATTAATGATGATGTTGATAACAAGGTAAACTCCTTCTCTAAGACATAGGTCAAGGTGCTAATCGCCCCTTATAACAAGAAAGAGCTGTTAGTAATCTATGCTACTATCTTATAGAACTATAAATATATGGATTTTGATTTGGAAATGAAGAATTCCCCTAATCTAAATCTCACGCTTGATGTGCAAAGCCTAAACTATTGGAAATAAGATCACTGATTTCGTGCTTAAGGAAGAACAGGAGTCGTTCAAGCTCACTCTCAAGGCTATTAAGAGGAACTATGATCATATTAAGCTCCAAAAATTACAAAATATTTTAAAGAAGAAGAAATAGGAAGAAATTTAAGTCGAATAGAAGGATTTCTGTCATTAAGCCTATCAGAATTAAGAAGAATTCTTTACTTGGGTAGGTAGGATATTATAACATATCGTATGGTCATTCCTAAATCAGGAAGAAGATTTGCTAATTCCATCAGCCTTAAGAGCCAATATTTTAACATGTGGTCACCAAAGAAGAGAGGAATTCCTTCGAATGCGAGTTTTGCAGCTGATATGGATGATACTTTTACCAAAATCTGTGAAGGTGAAAGTTCTGTTTCAAAATAATTTCCAGAATAGTCAACCTTCTTCTAGGAAGAAAAAGACAATTAACGATTTGCCAAGTCAACAGCCAAAGTTACTTGAGCTAGCGAGGGGTACTATTCCATTCATTTCATAGAGAAATATAGCAGATTTACTAGGAAATGAAACAAGCAAAAGAAGACCAAGTTTAGAAGGAAATCAAAGTTTCAGAAACAATTTAAGGAGTTTGACAAGGTGAGTGCTATTAGATATCCTACTTTGAACAACACAAAAATGAATAATGGGTTTCATAACAACATTCCTCAATTTCGGAGATGTACCAAGGAGGAGCATGCTAGTTTTCTGTGTGATTTACCAAAACTAGATATTTCCACTACTCCCATAGAGCTTAAGTCTAAATCCCGAGTAGGCTTGTAAATTAACTCTCATTTAGGCCCAAAAGTCTAAACTCCTAAGATCCCTAGACGAAAGGGACCATCGCGTGCTTACTTTCTGAGGAATGGTCAAAAAGAAGGACCTTTTTACTAACCAAAGTCATCAAAATTATTTAAATAACAGACTTATCATGGAAAAGTTTAAGCCACTGGTAGAGATCCCTACACCAGCTGCCACCCCTTCCAGGGTTCATCTTTATGCAATAGAAGGAGGTAAGCCGGCCAGATCACTATTTTAGGAGCTGAGGGGCGAAGAATAAGGTGGTTTATCAGACTAATTTGTGCCCATTTGGAGGCAAAAGTGGGTTTAGGTACTCCTAACATGTTTCAATTTGGCATGTTCTTAATGGGGTTTTGGGGTTTTGGGGTTTTGGGG